AAAGTAGGACGCTAAGTGGTTAGAGTTGAGCTTCATTGGCTCAGTCATCCTAATGAATAAGTAAGGAGAGGGTATTCAGGGTTATGGCTAAAGTTTAGCTCGATTATCTCAGTCTTTCTAATGAAAAAAGAAAAGAATAGTCAGGGTTATACTAGCCATGGCATGCACACCAAGGCATGATGGATGCAGATAGCATTAACTAGCTGAATTAAATGGGTGAGAGTCCTGGGATTTATATAGAACCATAAGTTCAGCTCTGAAGAAGCTTCTGCCAGCAAATATGTGCATATTCCCACATCCACATCCGTTACTCGTGCGTATGGAGAATAATAGCAAGGTTTTGCTTTGGCTGTAAAAATAATATGACAAATAATTTCATGACTCTTAGCCTTTGGCAGTTTGTGTGAAGCAAACAAAATGAACACAGAGCACCTTTTTAAATATGCATAAAACTGCCTAGAAAGTTTGCTATTTCCAGAATGTTCAGGAGATTTCTGGGGAAATAGTACTGAAACAAGAAATGAAGGATGCATTCAGTGTTTATAGTGACAAGAACTCTTTGCTTTTCTCTTGGTAGTGTCTTTTTTTTTTAAATACATTCTTCAAAGCTGGGTATGGTAGCACATGCCTGTCTGGCAGTTGGGAGGCTGATATAGGAGGTTCCTGAGTCCGGCCTATCCTGGACTACATTGTGAGACATGCATGGTCTCATGAATACCATAACTATACAGACGAAATACTGATGCTGCTGCTTCTACTACTACTATTACTGCTACTATTACTACTAGTAGTAATAATAATTATACATTCTTGATATTGATTCAGGAGCTTAAGCATTACTTGTGTATGACTTGGTTTGGCTAGGGCTCCAGGGATACCGTCAAAGTAATGCTTGCTTCCCAAAGATTAAAAGCCATGCAAGGCTATCATGGCCTACTTCTCATATCAACCCAGCATTTGAAAGTCTCCTCCATTTTCCATTTAAATATATGAGTTTTTTTGTCAAAATCAAGTTCAGACAATCCACATCCCACCTTTCCTAATTGTGTCTCTTCTTACAGTCTTAGCCACGGTGCGTCTATGAAATAGCTAAGCCAACTGTACATTTGGAAGTATGATGCTCCGTGGCTTTAGCTTGATCTCCAGTGCCTGCTCCCTTCTCTTGCTCTGCGCTTATTTTCTAGCTCATGAATCCTTTCCAACTAGAAGAAAATGTGAAAACTGAAGTGACTTGCTTTCCACTGCCTGTTTTCATGCTTGCCTGGGGTTATGTGGATTTCATAGATGTGTTTGCAGTGCATGTGTATTACTGATGTCTATTGAGAATGGCATGAAGAAGGCACATCTGGAAGATGGAATGATTCCAGTCCGTTGAAACGTTTCTCTTAAGCTCTAGTAATAATGTCTACATTGATAGAACTGCCGAAAGGCCTGTGAGGAGGCCTGGGGTAAGGACAGACACATGGAATCAATCTGAGATGAAGAGCTTGAGATGAACTGCTAAAGGTTAGGACAGAGGAAGAGAGACGGGGGAATAAGAAAGCTTTCCAAGTAAAGCAAGAAGGGTAGAGAAAGTGGTATCTCCTAGAGAAAACTGATGTACAAAATGTCCAATGTGTTATTACTGAAGAAAGCTTTTAAGAATGTGACCATACCCAAGTCCTGAGATTATGTACAAACCAGCCCTGGTTCTTCCTATAAGGTTTTGAGCATTTTTGAAGGAAAAGGAGAATTTTGAAAGCAAGAATCAGAACAAGATTTTTTTTAATTTATTTATTTATTAAAGATTTCTGTCTCTTCCCCGCCACCGCCTCCCATTTCCCTCCCCCTCCCCCAGCCAATTCCCCCTCCCTCGTCAGGAGAGAGAGCAAGAGCAAGGAACTCAGGACTGTGAGGGATGCACCCACACACTGAGACAATGGGGATGTTCTATCGGGAACTCACCAAGGCCAGCTGGCCTGGGTCTGAAAAAGCCTGGGATAAAACCGGACTCGCTGAACATAGCGGACAATGAGGACTACTGAGAACAAGATTTTTTTTTTAAGCAAAATTTTCTTTCTACATCTGTATCTTAGAAAAATTCCCATAGCAGCAAAATTGAAGGCAAATTGGAAGAGAGCCAGGTTTGAAGAAAGAAAACCCATCAGAGTGCAACTATAATAAATAGCATTGTGAATTAAAGATTATGAGAACGGAAACGAGAATTGTAGAGTTTCACATTTTATTTAGAAAACAATTCCTAGACTTAACTGGCTTGGATCAATATAAGAGAAGCATTAGCTTTAATTTCAAAAACTGGAGGTGGAAGTGCGGTTCTCTGGCCAGGTGAAGGGTACAGAAGAATAAGAACTTCTGAAGCTGCCCATGTAGCATACCATTCCTTTTCTCTTCATTTTTCCTTTGATTGAAAATAGATTATTCTCTCATAGAATGTATGCTGACTACAGGATCCCCTTCCTCTACTCCTTCCAGTTCCTCACCACTTCCCCTCCCCTCTGGATCTACTCTCTTTCTGTCTCCGTTTAGAAAAGAACAGACTTGTCAGAGATAACAAACATGGCAAAATAAAATATATTAAGATAAAGCAAAAGTCATCACATCAAGGCTGAACAAGGCAACTCAACAGAAGGAAAATATCCCTAAGAGCAGGCACAAGAATCAGAGACCCACTTGTTCACACATTCAGGAGTCCCATATAAAATACTAAGCTGAAAGATATAATTAATATATATACAAAGGACCTGATGTAGATCCACAATGGCCCTGAGCTTACTGTTTCAGCCTCTGTGAGTTCATATGAGCCTTGCTCAGTTGATTTAGAGGGCCTTGTTCTGCTGCTGTCCTCCATGCCCTCTGGCTCTATTCTTTCCCCCTCCTCCTCAATGGGAGTCCCTGAGCTCTGAGGTGAGAGATTTGATGGAGACATCCTATTTAGAGCTGCTTTTTACAAAGACTCTCTCTCTCTCTCTCTCTCTCTCTCTCTCTCTCTCTCTCTCTCTCTCTCTCTCTCTGCCTAATTTCTGGCTATGGATCTCTGCATCTATTCCCATCTGCTACAGGATGAAGCCTCTCTAATGATGATGAAAGACACTGATTTATGAGTATAGCAAAGTCGTTTATGAGTATAGCAGAGTCATTTTTTTGATACTTTTTTTTTTTAAAGATCCATAGTGTTTGCATTTACTCTAGGTCTCTGGATTATCTAGCCTCTGGTTCTTGTTCACCGAGCACTGTCAAGTTCAGTCTTATGAAGTGGGCCTTACATAAAACAAGGCATTAGTTGGCTACTCTGACAAGTTTTATGCCTCCATTGCCCTAGCATGTGTGGCATGTAGGAGCAATTGTAGGAGACAGGGTTTGTGACTGGACAGTTGTTTACATTTTTCCATTAGTAGTCTTCAGAGTGCCTTATCACACCAAAGATAGAATAGAGAGATCCAGGCTTCTTATTAGCACCAGCACAATATCTCCAGGTTCAATGAGTTGTGTAAGTATTTAGAAATAAGTGTTGGCTATTAGAATTTCGGATGTTAAAATTCTTAAATTAGAGCTAGAAAATAAAAAGAATAGTATCCCAGCTTTGTGATAGCTTACCCTGAACATACATGTATCATGCTGACCACAGGTAAATGCCTGTAGTCTAAGTTAAAGTAACAAGAAAAGCAGAAACCACAACAACCTTGGCATATCAAACATGCCAGAAACATGGTGATTAGCAAAGGGGGTTGAGGGATAACAGTGAATGTAAAGAGTGGAAATGAAACACCACAGAAAGTAAAGCACCAGGCTAGATGATACCCAGGTGCCAGGCTTGGCCACATGTGGGGGTGGAGTTAGAGAACAGCAAGCCCTGGAAATGTTAGTTTATTGTTTGAAATTTTAAAGACATAAGCAAGTGAAGTGTGTGTCACCGTATGCTTTTATATTTCTGTAGACTTATAACTTCTTGTGAGCTTTTACACACACAAAAAAAAATAAAAATAAAAAAAGCTTGAAGGCATCCTATAATGTAAGATGTTATCAACTGAAAATGACAAATCGGATAAACTTAATCAGAACAGACAGAGAAGAAAAGGGCAACATGGAGTGGTCAGCAGCATCATTCTGCAAAGAGGTCAAAAAGAGATACGGGCTGGAGGAGCCTTTTAGCCTGGTATTTGCATTTGATCACAAGTGACCTTATTAAAGCCACTTCACTGAAAGGCTAAGGGCAGAAGCCTGACCAGACTTTCCGGGAGGTGGAAAGTGAGGACATGAAGAGCTGGCACGGTCATTAACGAAGGGGAGAACTCCTGCAAAGACACAAGCAGTGTCTTCGCTCAAGACCTCTTTGGTGTTACCGAAGGAACCCACAGAAACTTCTTCATACATAAAGGGTAGTCACTAGTTTTCCATGGATGGGAAGTGACACGAGAGACTGACTGCTCAGGGTCCCAATCGTGGCAGATCTCAGCCTTCCTAACAGTAGCTCATACATGAGATTGTATGCAAGGGAAGAATTTGTGAACAGATTTCTTGCAGCGTGCTGACCTGTTGATGGGTTGGAGATGAGATCCTATGCAGGGTAGATGATATACGACAGTAAAGAAACAAGGTTCTGGGAGAGGAACTCAATCCATCTATTGGTGGGAATACAGAATATTTCGTAGAAGAATACAGAAGGTACCTGGTTTCACAGCCAGGACATTAATAATGTGTTTTTTAAAATATTTGTATCAAAACAATCTTTCCTGGCATGCCTTTAATTCCAGCACTTGGGTGACAGATGCAGGTGGATCTCTGTGAGTTCAAGGCCAGCCTGGTCTACAGGAGTTAGTTCCAGGACAGCTAGAGCTGTTAAACAGAGAAACCCTGTCTCGAAAAACAAGAAAAACCAGAGAGAGAGAGAGAGAGAGAGAGAGAGAGAGAGAGAGAGAGAGAGAGAGAGAGAGAGAGAGAGAGAGAACAATCTTGATATAAACAAGCTAGTAAATTTTTTTGTTTTTCTTTTCCTTCTAAAGCCGAACAACAACTTATCCCTATACAGAAACACAGATGTACAGCCAAAACACTGGAGGAAATTACTTTGATACTCAAGGAAGTTCAGCACAGGTGACAACCGTGGTGTCCTCCCACAGTATGGTGGGTACTGGTGGTATTCAGATGGGCGTCACAGGAGGACAGCTCATCAGCAGCTCCGGAGGAACCTATCTGATTGGCAATTCAATGGAGAATTCTGGTCACTCAGTGACACACACAACTCGGGCCTCCCCAGCAACAGTAAGTGTTTCTCATTTTATTTCCGTTAGCTTCTGTGGCTTGTATTGTACTGTTTTCCTCTATGGAGGGAATCAAACCACACAGACTCGAGTAGGGCAAATTGTATTATGCAGTTTTCATATCCTGCCACTTTATAGGATGTAACAGGTAGCATTATGAAGAATGTTACTGGCATGTGTGCCCTAATTCAGTAATTAGAAAGTCTTTATCAGTAATAGAAAGCTACATATAGAGAAATGAATTTTCCTAATGTAAACACTGACTTTGCTATATTTTTTGGCTCATATCTGGAATCTTAGTATACAGAGATTGAGGCAGAAGGAGTGTTGTGAATTCAAGGCCAGACTGAATTATCTAAGCTATACTATAGTTTGTTTATACATTTAAAAAACTGGTTTGCTTTTGCAATAGAAAGTCACATGTACTTGTTTTATCAAATTTATAGTGACCCTAGTATTTGTTTTTTTTTTAAAAAAAATTATGTGGATACATGCCTGTTTTCTTGGTTAAAGAGAGGCGGGGGGAGGATTGTGAGTTTAAAGCCAGACTGTGCTATGTTGTGCGGCCGTCAGGAGATGTGTTGCTCTGTGCTGTATTTCATTTGCCAGAGTCACATTGCATCTACAAAGAAAGCTCTGGGAAGCCCTGGTGACAAGTGATTCATATGTATGACACTTGTGTAGGTGCTGTGACCAAATGATGAATGAAGACACATCTTCATATAGCACTTCTCAAACATTTAAATTTAAATATGCATTTTGACAGGGAAGGATGGCTTGCCAGTATGAGAGTATTAATTTGCTGAAGTGGTTTCAGGAATATAGGAAGTTATATACCATTTGATATCATCAAGCTGTAACGTCACTTATGTATAAAAGGGAGAATGATCATCTAAAACAAAATAGCAATGGAATTGACTTCTTACTTGATTCATATGAAATAGTGGTTGTGGGCTAGGGTTGTACTTCAGTAGCATCGTGACAGTGCTCTGTGTGTTCAGAGTCCTGAGTTCTACCCCTAACCCTACAAAAACGTAGGGAGTGTAGTGATAGGGTTTTGTATTAAGTGTATACACACTTTTCTCATTTTGTTACCATGTATTTTGTTCTTGAAGTGAAATGAGGAAGTAGTGAATTAGGGAGAAAACAATAGCAGTATGAGGCCTCTAGTTTTCACTTTATGGGTTTTCTTCAGGATGTTCTATGTACTTTGTGTTACTCTTGTGTATTTGTTGTACTGATTTGTTCACTCTTTCATCATTATTATTGATCTATCCCTCAACAAATTTTAAACCCTCTATTTTTATTGACTTCAGTGTTTTTTAATACCAGAATAGCTGTTCTGAGTAGATTTTTTTTTGCATTTTTGTACATACTTTTGAAGTGCTTTTTTATATGTATTGTCTCTTGGTTTTAATATAATAATCTTATACTTCTAAATTTTTCAATCATACACGTGTTTATACAGACTACAAAATAAAGAAGTTACCACTAATCAGCCATATCCTCTCTAGCCTTGTTGCTCTATCAGTAAAACAAAGTGCTATACTAAGTAATTTTTTTATTTAAAATAATGACAATTACAAAAATTATGAAATAGCGCAAGAAAAACAGTAAGTTTATATTTATCACAAAAGGAAAATGGTACCCATAGTTTATAGGTGCCTATTGCAATACATGTCAAATGTCATTTCCAGTGGTAGGCAATGATTTCTCAAGGCTCTATGAGCTGTCTCATTTTCACTTCATCTACTCTCTCATGCTGATATGCCTTCTTTCTGACCTCATCCTTTCCTACTTCATCTCTTGTGGCCATTCCCATTTGCCTTCACAATTCAAACTAACCAAATATCCCCAATAACAACTTGATTAATGTTTACTTAATTTGCAAGTTCTGTTGCTAAATTAACTAAACATTATATTTCATGTCATTTAAATATATATTTAAAGGCATTAAAAGGATTAATTTTATAATTTTTTAACCAGTGGATGCCTTTGTTTTTGTATACAGAATATGCAAGATTACATTACACCTAGTTCTTCCACTATACAACTTTGAAATCATTTATTATTATTTCAGTTTATCAAATGAACCCATAGATAACTGAGTTATAGCAAGTAAGAATGGTTGGAACTATTTTTAAAATAGCAATTTATTATAGGTATAAATAAATCTAGGAATAAATTTGCAGTCAGTATCCATTTCTGGGGAGTTATGAGTCTGATGTGTTTCCAGTTAGGGTTGCTTTCTTTTTACAACAATAGTTCCTTTTTAACCGAAAACATTAAAAGTTTACCGAGAAATTTTGTGTATGCAGGCCCTCACTGAAAGCATAAGATAGTTATGAGTTATCTAAACCTATCTGTATCCATCTGTCAGTGCTTACTAGGTTTCTTGAAATGCATTAATAAGCTATATATTTAATTTACATCTCACCTTAATAATGCTGAACATATTAGTTCAAATCATAGTGTATGATTTCTTTTATCACTTTTCAGTTTTATTTATTATAGCAAATTAGCGAAATTAAGTGTTATTTACCCCTGAAACTTTTCATACTTTTCTTCTCTTGCCAACTCCTGAAAATCAATACATTTCTTCATTGTTTTGATGACTGGAAATTGGCATGCTTCTAGTAGGTGCTTCTTGCTGCCTTGTGTCTTTTTCAGTTCCCGTAGAACCGTAGGCATGTCTGTGAGTACAGTGTCTGGCAGCATGCCTTTCCACACTAGGCCATATGCTATATGCCATTTAAGTTCAGTTTCTCTGACTGGTCTTGTTGTGCCTGTAACATGTAGCATAGCTAATATAATCGACTATAGAAATTGGTGGTGTCTTAGCCAAAATGCCTGAGTGCAGAAAAGAGACACCTCTCTACATCTGCAGATCTCTCTTCTGTGGACTCAACCAACCTCACAGCAAACGCTTGGGATAAAATTACAGTACGTGTGCATACTTTTTGCTTGCCATTCTTCCCCAAAAGATGTAGTATATTAACTATTTTCAAGCATGTTTACCGTGTGTTAGGTTTTATAAATAATCTAGAGACAAAATAAGCATTCTGGCGTGCAAGATCGCTCAGCAGGTAAAGGTACATCCACCAAGCCTGATAGCCTGCACGCATTCCCCAAGACTCACATGGAGAAAGAGAAAATTGACTCTCAGAAGTTGCCCTCTTACCTCCATATGTGGACATGCACACATATACACGCCCACACACACCTCACTTCTTTTGTTAAAAGAAAGTACACAAGTGTTCTGATAGATTGTATCTTAAATAAGGGACATCTGGTATCTGATGAACATTTATGATAAACAAGAGGCAGCCCTAGTCAGCCTGGCATTGCTGACGAGCAGAGCTTGAAGTGCTGTGGCGCCACCAGCTCACCTCATTCAGTTGATAGGAAACTGATTAAGGTCCCTGGGAACACAGCTGAGCACCATAACTCACTTGCAGGCTGGGAGTATCCTACCTCCGTCCTCAGATGTGCTCTTACGCAGTTCACTTGTGTCTGTACAGAAATATTTGCACTCAAAATTGTTAGGAAGAACACCGTGTCCTCAGAAGCTTAATGTGCAAACAGCCTCTTATGGCATGCTATGGAAGAAGGTTTGTGATTTTACATAAAAACTCCAGTGGAGAAAAATCAAAGATCATTTCCTGGAATACTTTGATGCCTAGCCTAAAACATCTTATCGGAATCATCTTTGCTCTACTACAGTCATCTGGATTATCTGCAGAATTTTTATTTCAAGTGTTATTTGCTTTAACTTTATAACTTTAGATGAAAAAAGCTTTATTAAGGTGATTTAATATTTCATATTTGGCTTGCTATAAAGGTAATGAATTTTATATTATGAATATATTATGTGGCAAACTATTAGTATTCCTATTTGATGACAACACTACTTTTCGTTTTACCTGTTATATCATGTGGTCATTAAGAACCCATATCTTGCCGGGTGGTGTTGCCACACGCCTTTAATCCCAGCACTCGGGAGGCAGAGGCAGGCAGATCTCTGAAAGTTCGAGGTCAGCCTGGTCTACAAGAACTAGTTCCAGGACAGGCTCCACAGCTACAGAGAAACCCTGTCACTAAAAACAAAACAAAACAACCCAAAAAGAACATAAAGAACCTATATCTTTATAAATTATATATGTATATATCTATATGTACATATATATTATAAAATACATACATAAGACATTTTATGCTGATACTAAGATTTTTAAGAAATATTAACAGTTTTGTTGGATCACCATTAGATATGAGTTTAGCTAAGTAGTGATGTAAATAAGTGTTTTTAGATTTAATTCGACTGAAGTTAGGGATCTGTTGTTGCTGTGTCACAGACCGTAAGGTATGGGAGTTGGTGACTGTCATGAGTCTGGACTCATCACACTCCTTCCCTCTGACTGTGTCACTCTCTTCCATTCATTTTATTGGAAATTCTTGGCTTGTTTGTTTGCTTATTTTGATAGCATCCTCATTCATAGAATTTAAGAACTTTGAAAATGAAACAATTTTCATATACAAAGCAAAAACTTGTGACTGCAGTGATATTTTTGTGCTCACAACAGCATAGTATATCTTATACTTTCCTTGACAATAAATGGCAATATGATTTAAGAACCTTTACTCAGTCCTCTGTTAAGCAAAATATTATTTGTATTTCTTATTTAGTTATTTTTGTTCTTCATAAATAAATAATATTGCATTAGGCATTTTGAGGCTGTGCTATAAAATTAAATTTAGGACCTATATGTAATAATAATGACATACATTTAAAAGTTTTTAGTATAATTAGATTCTGCCAAAAAAGGTAAATAAAATATGTTGATTATAATATCTCTTCTAATTAATGTAAAATATACCTTAACTATTTGATGTGAATAAAACTTAGCTTACTTTATATAATGTAGAGAAATCTGATTCATTTTAGAATTTTAGGTGTTTTTATTTCTTTTTCCTGTGCTTTAAGTGTTCATGAGTCCATGT